TGAGGAACTGTTCATCTTCAGGGGGACTCGATTGGCTACGGTAGACCACACCGAGAGGGAAAGAATCGGACCCGTGCAGCGGGATTTGGATCCACAGTGCATCGCAAAAGTTGCAGGAGTGGTATCGGAGAGGACAATCGGGATTGGTAGGGCCGCATGTAAGTACAGAGCAAGCTCATCAGCCGTCCCTCGTTTTAAGTCAGCTCCAAAAACAGTTAGCCGTCTATCAAGATCTCCGCGTCAGAGGCGTCTGGTGTGAGCCAGGTCTCTGTAAATGCGATTGTAAGCGGTTATTCAAGGCAAGCTGACTGTTTATTATCGCAGAGTTTGTTGAAAAAGCTGAGGCAGTTTGTGGACAAGCATTTAAACACCGCCTATGCTGCCTCCGAGGGAGAGGAGCCGAAAGTTGAGTGACCAGGTTGGTTAGCAGACTTAATAGTTGTGCGCCGGGTTTGAGTCCAAGGCTCCGATGTAGGCTATAGTGCTTTATATCATTCTCCAGCTTCCCATCTCTTGTTTCGTAAATTCGCATGCGCATGCCTATTTATGTTATATTGAGGTAACGGTGTGGCACATTTTCACCTACCCGCGTGAGGACTCGCTCATTCTACCAGTTTGGTTCTCACCAATATTACCAGAAAGATACTGAGCTGACGCATTTAAACTGTCACTTCGAGCCTACATCCTCAAAATTGATATCAAAGGGCCGCAGTGAGTGGCTGCTAAGCTCTTCAAGTTAGAAGCATCTGTTTGTTCAGGCCTTTTATTTTAAAAGGGTTTCCATGTGTAGACGTAATACACTACTTAAATTGTTCGAAAGTTCAAGAGTTGGCTAATGTATCAACAAGCAAGCCGGCCAGCTGCTGGACTGGTTGATGAGGACAATTACGGAGCGAAATAGACAGAAAGCGGTGGTAATTTTATTCTGTCACAGAGCCATCTGAAAGGGGCTCCGCTGTACAAACTTTCTTGTTGAGATGGTTAGCAGGCAGATGTGGAACGATGGTGAAAGACTTTCCAAGATAATGGGCAAGGACAGCAGTCTAACTCAAAATTCTTGCATGAACTGAAAAATAAGGTAAGAGTATGTGTTACCGGTCACTGAGTCACTGCTGTGCACGGCAAAATTATGCCGCTGGATGCAAGTATCAGAGGAAGGGCGAGGACCCCATCCTTCACATGAATGTGACCACTCTTAGGAGCAGGCTAACGAATTGACCTCTATGTGGTTCAAACCCAACGAGGAAGAAGGTAACAGTATATGTCTGCATCATGTAAGCCATGACAATTTCGATGAATACTCAGGCTACAACATATATAATAAAAACGGAAAACGGGAAAATTTCCCCTGCCTGTACTTTTTGCGCTGTACAATAAAAATTATAGCCAGTACAAGTACAAAATAGCGACTATATATAGGCAGCAGTGGCGCCTTTTTATGGCTTCCCTGAAATAGGTGCTTTCCCTAAAACGAACGGTGAAGAGCGAATAACCTATGCCGTAGGATTGGTGGCATAAATACAAACGCACCATGGTGTATCCAAACATGGCTACCGACATTGAACTGCGTACCTGTTTACAATACTCAGTTTCAGTCCCTCGTGCTTCCTAGCAGATCTCGCCTTG